TGTCATCTTTTCACAGGGGTTGTGCTGATCTTTTTCTGTATCATTATGATTTTAGTATATGTGCTGCTGAAGGGAGCACTTGTTAGGCGTTTCTTTCTTTTTTCTTTTTCTTTTTTTTTTTTTTTTTTTTTTTGAGTAGGAAAGATCCTTTATTGGGGTGGACACGGAGCACGCACGAGTCCAGGATAAAACCGCTAACACGAGCCGGGGCCGTGGCACCCTGCGTGGGGACACATGGGGCAGCACGGCTGGCCCCACCCCTGCCACCAGCAGTGGTGGGACCCAGCTAGCGACACCAGACACCTGGGTCCCAGGCTGGGGACCTGGTGGGGGCCAGGGGTTGGGTTACTGAGGAAGCATCTAAGACATGTCACTACTAGATCTGAGTCCCCTTTAACCAAGGCGTGACAAGTGTTACAGCATAAATAAAAACGCAAGGAAAATAAATACATCGGCTCCTATGAGGTTGGAAGTGGTGTGGATGGGCGGGAGGGTGCAGCGGGGAGGGCGGGCGCTTACACACGGGGCGGGCGGCAGCCTAGGTGTCCTCGTGCATGTCGGGGCTGTCTGTCCGCGCCACCTTGCGGGGTGGCGCGGAGCTCTCACCCTCCAGCTCCACCTGTTCCTGGTCCCTCTTCTTGGCAGCATTCTTTTTGTCCCATTGCTGATGTAGGTAGCGTAGAAGGATATTTGTCTTTTCCGTCACAATGATCTGTTCTGACGGGTACTCCCGGGTGGGCAGGTAGACAGAGGGGCGCCGGTTCGAAGCCTTGCACACAGAGTCAGCATGGAATCGACTAAAATTGCTCTTGTTGTAGACAGGCAATCCTTTCAGAAAGTCTGCCATCCTCTGTTCCCTCTGTCTCCGGCTGAGCCGCCGCCACCACAGCCACCTTCCCAGCCGCCGCCGCACAGCAACTTCTAGCCGCGGCACAGCGCACACTGATCTTGTTAGGCGTTTCTTAAGTCCATCATGTTGACATTTAAGATTAATTGCCCCCTGCCAAGTTGACACCCAGTCACATCTCGTTCAATCACATTGAATCTCCATATAGATAAATAA